GGCGGCAGATTCCTGACGTCGTGGGGACTGATGGTGGATGTCGGGGAGGCTGGGGGGGGGGCACGTGCGGAGCCCTTTGTTGCCTCGGTTTCCGTTTCCTGGTGCAAATGAAGGCCCTCAGTGTTAAAATAAAACGTCTCGTGCAGCACGTCTCTGCGGGCGCGACGGGCCGCTTTTAAAGTCCACTTCACTTCCCTTTGTCTCCTTTGTAGGGTGGGGGTCAGGGACAAAAACAATTCTGCAGCCTGTGAGCCTCGGGCGGCAAGGGACAGATACAGGTCAGGAGCCCCCCACACCCTCCTACCCCAGCAGGGACACCCACACCCACACACAATACATAGAGTGGGCCATGAACCCCCCCCCCCCCCCCCCCCCACCCACACATACACACCCCCCAGAGTAGGAGGCAGCAGCAGATGCAAGGTATTGTGGGATGCAAAGGGAAGAAAAAAAAAAACCGTGGGGGGAAAAGGAAAGATGTTCGTCCCTCCCACCCGAGGATGAGTTTCAGGCGGCACGCGATGCCTCTCCTGTACCCGATACCCACGCCGGGGATGAGATAGCGGCATGTTGGCAGCGGGGAAGGTTAGACGGCTCCCTTTCAGGGGCACACAGAGGCAAATGGACACCAGAGGAAGAAGAGAGGGTGCTGTGTGGTGCTGAAGACATCAAGCCAAGGGTCTGAGCCGCCCGGCGCCCAGAGCCACTAACGGGCCGGGCTGCTGCAGCACAGTCCACCAGAACAGCACTCTGTCACCTGACCCGAAGACCACAGAACTGGCTTCAAAGTCTGTCCCTGGCAGCCGAAACGAGACCGAAAGCTTGGGGTTAAATAATAATAAAAAAAACCCTCAAGGTATTCAGCCCCACTCAGATGGTCTACTTAAAATAATCCCTTAAACATATGGAAATGAGCAGGGCAGGCGGACACCGGAATCTGCATACCAATGACCGGCTGGGGAGAGAGGAGCAGCGTGGGGCGGGCGAGCGAGCGGGCGGGCGGGCAAGCCCTCCCCCAAGCCCAAGCCCAGCCCCACCCCACCAAGTACCACAAGCAGGTTGTGTAAAATGCCCCCTCCCCATTCAGGGTGGGGGAAGGTGGCAGTTAGAGGTCACCGCTCTGTGAAAAGCGAGAAAAGGTCCCGGCCAAGTGTCCCACTTCTTACAGCGACAGGCCTTTTCAATTATAGTGTCGGAGAACGTACTCTTTCTGCCTGTTTGATCTCAGTCGTGAGTGTGTGTATGTATGTGTGTGTGTATGGGCGAGGGGGGGCACCAAACACCCCAACCAGCTGCAACTGGCCCTGCTTATGGCTCTCCGCACACTTACAGGTTTTCAGGCTAATTACTCTCACAGCGACCAAACACCGTTTTCAATCGCAGGGCGAAGTGCTTAATCCATCTTTACAGAGTCATCAGGGTTGGCGATAAAACGAGAGGAAGCGATGAATAGGTGAAATCCCCAGAAAAAATGTGGCAAGCGGGAGTTTGGCTTCTAAGAGCTGTGACTTACGGGCAAAGGAGGGAACAAAAAACGTACCTACAATCCTTGACAGCCAAAAACATCAGAAAAAAATATGTATATAGATGAAGAACTAATAAGACATTACACTCAGCCACCTGAGGGGTGACTAGCAGAGTACTTACTTCATGCAAACTATGTATAATACAACTGTTCACATTAAGAGTTGCATCACCATTTTAAGTTCTACAAATTGATTATTAGTGTGTCTGTAAACAAAAGCCAATGTAAAGTAATTCCCTTCCCCTGCCCTTTCTGTAGTAACATGCTTTTTATAGATCGGACTGATTACGTGGCAACAAACGCTGAAAGTCTGGCTGCCTGTTTATTTCACGTCCATATGAATCTGCGCCCACCGCCACCCCCCCCCCCCAACATCGTGTTTTTTGTCCCAGATTCGGCCCGCGTGTCTGAACTGCTGCAGCAGCGAATGAAATTTTACTTTATTTTTTTTTGTTTTGCTCCTGCTGGGAAGCGACTGAGGAAACATTAAAAGGGAAAAAGGGATGAAAATGTCTAGGGAGGCAGAGACAAGAGCCGATAACGGGGTTAGGGACTGTGGGCAGCGATATCCCAGAGGAATAACGTGACAGCCCAACAAGAAGGGGGGGCTTGGTTGGGGTGGAGAGACAGACCAGGCCGTGCTGGGGGCCATGGAGCCGCGGTGGAGCCGAAACCCAGACACACCAGTACCAAGTCACACTCTGTACTGCTGCCCATAGTGTCAATGTGACACATTTTAAAAACATGCTCAGATTACCCATCTGTGCGACCGTCTCATCCGAAAATATCAAAGGAGAGAGAGAGAGAAAAAACATATCGCTTCTGACAGTACTAATGTCCCCCCCCCCCGCTCTAAGGGTATTCAAGTTCGGAACATTTCTATCATACAACGAAAAAAAAAACATTCAATCCTGACACGTCTGCTAAAAGACTATGGATGCTGCGTGACGATTAACCACAGCGGTCAGCAGCGTGGGCCGGGGTGTAGCCCCAAAACACCAGACCCACCCACCACCCCCCCCCAGGCACAACGTCGGCTGGAACTAATCAGAATTGGCTCCGATCGATTAAGCCATCACGCGTCCCGAAGAGCGCCTCTTAGGAGTCTGGGGTTCAGCTGCCGCCTCCCCGTATCTGTAATAATGAGGACTTTGTCCATCAGCCCCCACCCCGACCGCACGTCCAGCACACTGATCGCCATTTGATCAGGGAGTGGGGTGGTTGGGGGGGGCCCTGACTTCCCTGTTACATTGTTTGTCCTGAGAGACCCAGCACCTCACCCCAGCACACAGCGTCTAGACACTATTCATGATCCATCTGTCTGGCAGAGGCGCAGCCGGGAAGATGGCAAACTCGATTAGAATTGAAACATTTTCACCCCCACCTCCCTGTTTTGCCCTCTCCCTCTCTCCCCCTCTCCCCCCTCCCTCCTGCTCGGGCTGTGCGTCTCGCTCCCGCTGCCGGCGAATCAGTATTCCGGCTCTGAAAAATGACAATCGCTCTATGGGTTTTGTCGTAATAGTGCTGCCAGACGCTCTCATTAACATCCGCTCTAGACGGCTAAATATTTTAAAGTACCCGCACTGGTCACAGAAAACGATGCCCCCGCACTCCCCCCCCACCCCCCCCCCCCCCAAAGGCACGGGGGGGGATTTTGGGGGGGGGGGGGGGGGGGGGGGGGGGGGGGGGGG